GAACAACTGGAGAAGAGCAAATGTCAGCTGCAAGAAGAGGTGACAAAACACCACCATCATTTGGAGACTTTGGTGCTGGATGGCAGCCAAAGAGAACAGTGTACAGGAGAGGTGGCAGAAGGAGCTGACCAGGAAAGAAGTCCAAAGCTACAAGAGGTCAGCCTCGTTTTGCAAGTAAGTGAATTTCTCCCCAGTGTCCACAGGCTCTTCATTAGGAGCTTTGAAGCAGAGTGCTCATTTGGGCTTCTTTCCCACTGCAAAGAATTGTTTGCCCTGGTAGCTCCTGGGTTCTGCCTTGGTTGCTGCTGGGAGTGAGGAGGCAGAGCCGCCTCTCTGAGTCAGGCTGGGCCCTTGAAAGTGGGTGGGTGCAATTTTGTGCTGGGCAGAGCTCTCTTTTTCTTGTGGTGGTTGAAGGTGCACTGTCTCCTTCAGGCACAGGCAGCCCACCAGGCCCCACTAGGACAAACCAGAGACCATCATTGTGATTCCGTGAGAATCCAGTTGGAAGAAAGGATTAGAAATCTGGAAAGTGAATTGGAGAGGATCAAAACCACCCAAGAAGAGAGTGCTTCTCGTAAAGAAGCAACACAGGGAGAGATGGGGATGTACAAAGAGCTGTATCTGGAGGAAGTTAAAACCAGAAGATGCCTTGCCAAGAAACTGGAAAGGTAAGTCCATGCTTGTTTGGAGTGGTAATAAGAGAGTCCTTTTTCTTCCTGCATTTTCCTTGGAAATCCATCTTCTCCATCTGGCCAGCATTATTGCCCTCCATTGGCCAACAGGGTCTGATGGAGTTGCCAAGACCCTCTCCTTGATATTTGAAAAGTCGTGGCAGTCAGGGGAAGTCCCAGGTGAGGGGAAAAAGGGAAACCCACTGTGCCCATCTTTGGAAGGGGTAGAAAGGAGGGCCCTGGGAACTGCCAAGGTGTCAGCCTGCCCTCTGTGCCTGGGGAGGTGATGGAAAAGATCCTTCTAGAAGCTCTGTCAAGGCACGTGGATGACAGGGAGGTGATTGGAAGCAGCAGCACAGCTTCCCCAAGGGCAAGTGCTGCTTGACCAACCTGGTGGCCTTCTAGGATGGAGTGACTGCCTCAGTGGACAAGGGCTACCCATGTCATCTCCCTGTCATTCTGGGAAGCCTTTGACACAGTCCCCCACAACATCCTTCTCTCCAAAGTGGAGAGAGATGGATTGGATGCGTGGACTGTTAGATGGAGAAGAAATTGGGTGAACAGTGCCATGCAGAGGTGGTGATCAATGGCTCAGAGTGCTGAGGGCCATCAGTGCCGAGTGGTGTCCCTGAGGGGTCTGGATTGGGTCCAGTGTTCTTTAATCTCTTCACTAATGATCCAGAGGAAGGGCTGGAGTGCGCCCTCAGCCCCTGTATCAGTGCAGGCTGGGGGATGAAGAGGGGCAGAGCAGCCCTGCCGAGAAGCCCTTGGGCTGGAGGAGAGGCCGGACATGAGCCGGCGATGTGCGCTCGCAGCCCAGAGAGCCAATTGTGTCCTGGGCTGCGTCCAAGGCAGCGTGGCCAGCGGGTGGAGGGAGGGCATTCTGCCTCTCTGCTCTGCCCCTGGGAGAGCCCAGCTGGAGGGCTGCATCCAGCTCTGGGCTCCTCAGCACAGCAAGGACCTCCAGCTGTTGGACTGAGTCCAGAGGAGGCCACCAAGGTGCTTGGAAAGATGGAGCACCTCTGCTAGGAGGAAAGGCTGGGACAATTGCAACCCTTCAGCCTGGCAAAGAGAAGGCTTTGGGGTGACCTAATTGTGGCCTTTTGGGGTGTGAAGGGAGCCCACAAGAAGGATGAAGAGAGTGCATTTAAAAGGGCAGGTAGTGAGAGGACAAGGGGGAATGGCTTCAAATGGAAAGAGAGTAGGTTTAGATTTGATCCTGGGAAGAAATTGGTTGCTGTGAGGGTGGTGAGGAACTGCAACAGGTTGCCCAGAGAAGCTGTGGATGCCCCATGGCTGGAAGTGTTCAAGGCCGGGTTGGATGGAGTTGTGAACAAGCTGGTCTGGTGGAAGGTGTCCCTGCCCACAGCAGGAGGCTTGGAACTGGATGATCTTTAAGGTCCCTGCCAAGCCAAGCCATTCTAGGCTTGGATGCTGTCTGTGCTGTTTCTGTGAGACTGTGGGGGAAAGGCTGGTTCTTCCTGTGTTTCATGGTTTTCTTCACTGATTTGCTGTGCAGGCTGGAAAAGCTTCTGAGGATAGAGAGGAGGAAACTCCTGGTTAATGAAGAGAAAGGAAGTCAGTCCCAGCTGGAAGAAATGAAGAAGAGATATTCTGAAAAGGTCAAGGAAGTTGATAGATTCCAAAGAGAGGTGAGCTGCTCTCTGGGTGGGGCTCTTTGGTTGTGGTGTTCCTTCTTTTGAAAGCTGGGAGATGCTTTCCCTCTATTTCTTGTCACGTGGATGTTTTTATTCCCTTGGCTGCATTTTGGATGTGATGGGCTTTTCTTAATGCTCCTCCTGCTGTTCCAGTGGGAGATGACTCGAACTAATCCGGGGTAGTTCTCCTTCTGGGGAAAGATGCAAATGTTAAGGGCAAAGCAGTAGGTGTAAGGGCTGATGGAGGCCAGGCTGTCCTGCAGAGGAGGGGCAAGCCAGGAGTGGCAGCCAGCCTGTCAGGGTGCGTGAGCTCCCGGGCCAGGGAGCCGTCCCACAGGCCCTGAGCAAGAAGAGCAGAACAGGTCCTGTGAGAGTGAGCGGGGTCAGCCAAGAGTGCAGATCCCCCGGCTGGGCCTGAGGGATGGGCAGGTCTGCCGTCCTGGCAGGACATCACGTGCATGGGCTGAGAGCAGTGGGGCCCAGCTCAGGCCTGGCTGCAGCTGGAGGGAGGCTGTGACAGCGTCCTCTGGGTGTGCCAGATGAATTGCTGCCCTGGCAGAGAGGGGAGGAACAACGCTGTCACTGGCAGGGCACCATCAGCCCCTGAGCCCTGTCTCAGGCACGAGCTGAGCAGGAGGCCCTTGAGGTTTGGCTTTTCTCCACAGTGTTGTTGCTGCCCAGGGCCCAAGGAGGACAGGGGCCTCCCAGGGGAAAATCTGTCCCTTCTTGCTCACGGGGAGCTGTTTCAGCCCATCCTGTGGCGGGGAGCCCGAAGGACTGTTCCCAGCAGTGCTTTTGAGGCTACTGTGCCTGTGCAGCAGTGGCACAGAACCTCTCATCCCTTCTCCGCTCGTCACTCGGATCCGTTGCTGAAGCGGCGTCTGTCAGAGCCACGCTTGGGTTTGAAGGCATCCCTGTAGAATGGCTTCCTGCCTTTGCAGTCATTCCTTTGGAGTCCAGAAGCTTGGAGCATTTTTGCATGAGGAACTCCAAAAGGCTGGGAAGCTGAGGAATCCTGTGGCAAATGATGGGAAAGCTGTTCTTGCTGGAAAAGAAAAGCCTGGTTGCACTTTGTGTCTAGTCCTGAGCCAGCAGATGATGAATAAAGTCTCCCTGGGCACCCCCTTTTGAGGTTTTCCAGGAATTCACTGCCTTTACACCACGCTGAGTTCCTTTTTTGTTCCTTCTGTCTGCAGGTTGCTGAACTTTCCCAGCAGTTGGACAGGGAACGTGAACAGTGCACGCAGCTGGAGGCCAAAAATCAGGCTTTGCAAGAAGAGCTGTCTGCCCTGCGTGGGAAGTGCGAGAACCTGGCCATGGACAAATGCCAGCTGCAAGAAGAGCTGGCAAAACTCCACCATCATTTGGAGACCAACGTGGTGGATCGCAGCCAACTCGAACAGTGTAAAAGAGAGGTGGAAGAACAAGCAGACCAGGAAATAAGACAAAAACTCCAAGAAGTCAATGAGTTTTTGCAAGTAAGTGAATTTCTCCCCAGTGTCCACAGGCACTTCCTAAACTTCTCTTGTGGCCATGGTGTTTGGTCTTTTTCTTTTGCTCCTGTATTCTGTGGGTTAGCTTCTGTCTTTGCTGAAGGCAGTGGCAGAAGGCAATCTGGTTGGGCAGGAGTGCTGTCATGGGTGTGGAATGTGCCGGCAGGTCCCTGAATGCAAAGGCTGCCCAAGGCAGATTCCCACTTTGCAGTGCTTGGGGGGATCTCTGTGCGCTGCTCTGCTTCTCACTGCTCATCCTTGGATGGGTTTGGCAACTTGCAGCTGTCATGGCCAGACCTACAGGTGCTGCTTTGTCCTTGTAGGGGGTGAAAGTGCTCAGAAAAGGAGTCACTGAAATTCCAGGGATGGGAGGGAGGGGGTGGAGGTGGAAACTCTTCTTGTCTTTGAAGAATCCCTTTGGACATGCCCTGTCCTACAGACCCAGTGTCTCTTCATTAGTAGCTTTGAAGCAGAGTGCTCATTTGGGCTTCTTTCCCACTGCAAAGAATTGTTTGCCCTGGCAGCTCCTGGGTTCTGCCTTGGTTGCTGCTGGGAGTGAGGAGGCAGAGCCGCCTCTCTGAGTAAGGCTGGGTCCTTGAAAGTGGGTGTGTGCAATTTTGTGCTGGGCAGAGCTCTCTTTTTCTTGTGGTGGTTGAAGGTGCACTGTCTCCTTCAGGCACAGGCAGCCCACCAGGACACCTTAGAAGAAATCAGAAGCAGTCATGTGGACTCACTGAAAAAACAGTTAGAAGACAGAATTAGAGATCTGGAACGTGCACTGGGAAGGACAAAAAGCAACCAAGCAGAAAGACCTTTTCAAAAGGAATCCACCCAGGCAGAAGTGGACAAGTACAAAGAGCTGTATCTGGTGGAAGCCCAAAGAAGAAAAAGCCTCGCCAAGAGACTGGAAAGGTAAGTCCCTGCTTTTTTGGACTGGTAAGAACAGACTCCTTTTTCCTCCTGCATTTTCCTTGGAAATCCCTTTTCTACATCTGGCCAGCGTCAGGTGTGAAAGCAGAACGTGGCATCTTTGTGGGGAAAGTTCCTTCAGAGCCTTCCCTTCCTCAGACCTGTCTTCCTTTCTCTTTAGAGTTCCAGCAGTAACCCCACAGCAGCACCACTCTGGCATTATTGGTGTCTTTTCAAGTTGAGGTTGTTTTAGCAGGCAGTCTTTTTGCCAGTCTCAACTCTCCTCATCCCGTGGGTGACAGAAAAGCTGAATCTTGTGCCCTTTCCTGTTTGAATAAGGAGAGGCCTCTGGGAGAAGAGAGTTGGATTCTGTGAATCCAAAATAAGGCGGCTCTTTCTTGGCTTCTGTTTTGGCAGCGGGTCTGAGGGTTGAGCTTTCCTTGAGAAGGCCAGGGTAGCCCAGAGTTCTTCTGGAGGTGCCACTGGCTGCTCTTTGCACTTGGTGTGATTTCTTAGAAACAGGCCCTGTGAACAAGCTCAGATCAAAGGATGTGCTGGGTTTGGACGCTCTTCATGCCCTTGGCTTTTAGAAGTCGAGTAGTAGCCAAGGCTGTGGAGGGGAACTTTGCGAAAGCCTTCCTGCCAAAGATGACTCTGTGTGTGCTTGTGAATGTTTCAGAGCTACTGAGAGACTTGCAGAGGCCAACACCAAGCTTTTTGGAGCGCCACAGAAGCAGATCTGTGGTCACAAGCAGCGCTGTCAGCGGACTTCTGGCTGCAAGTCCACTTCTGGATTCACCTGGCCTGGGACATCTTGGCCTCAGTTTGGGACTGAGCAGAAGTCTGGCTCTCAGAACACCACCCAGACACCTGTGGTAAAGCCCAAGACTTCTGCTCATCAGGTTGGTATAGATTTTCCAGAGTGGTCAAAGGCCCAAAAAGGTTGAAATGGAAGCAATGAGCTGTGGAACTCCATTCTTTTCCAAGAGAAACTGTGGGCAAGAGCTCTGTGGCACAGGAACCTCCCACCTAAGTTCTACCCTAAATTTACACGTAGTAATCTTCTGTAGTCTGTGGGGTTTGGCAGGAAGCCAACTCCAACCGGCTACAGATGGTTTTGGTGTCAGAAGTGGGATTGTTTTGGTTCCTTTGGTTTTGTTGTGGGAACATTGTCTGGGAAAGCTGCCAAGAGCAGGTTTGTTTTGTCAACATCCCCCATTGTTTTGGGACACTCCTGGGAGAGCTGCCAAGAAGGATTTTGTTTATCTAAACATAGCTTTGTTTAGGAACAAGAAGGGAAAATAATAACAATGGCCTTTTTACTAATTTTATTCCTGATTCTTGCTGGTTTTGTGCCTGTCCTAGGACATCCTGTGAGGGACCGTTCAGATGGATGGAACGAATTGCTTCCTTTCCTTAATTTCGACACCCACGGCCTAGTAGCCAGTTTCCTTGATGGTGGCCTTCAAGGTTTGGTAGCAAAGACTCCAAGATCAGCTCTAACCCATCCCTACATTGCTCAGTGACAATGATCCTAGTGGTGAAGGCAGCGAAACTGCTACTTAAAATTGGAGAGGTGGTGCTGCATTGGTCCCCTTGTTGTACGAAAGGAATCGCTGGAGCTTTGGGGACAAGAAGTGCCAACGGCCACGACAACTGTACACAGGCAACAGTATCGGAGGAACCGAGATGCTGTGACCCCCATCCATACATCCAGTACATCCATGACATCATTGTGGGGGGGACACAGCAGAAGAAGTTTTCGAGAAAGGACAGAAGATCATCCAGATTCTCCTCGAGGCTGGTTTTGCCATCAAGAAGAGTAAGGTCAAGGGCCCTGCCCAAGAGATCCAGTTCCTAGGGCTGAAATGGCAAATGGACGACACCAGATACCAACAGACGTCCTCCACAAGATTGTAGCAATGGCTCCACCCACAAACAAGAAAGAAACCCAAGCTTTTCTTGGAGCCATTGGCTTCTGGAGGATGCACATCCCAGAGTACAGCCAGATGGTGAGCCCTCTTTACTTTGTGACCTGTGAAAAGAACAATTTCCAGTGGGGTCCTGAACAACAACAAGCTTTCAGGCAGATCAAGCAAGAGATTGCACATGCCGTGGCTCTTGGAGCAGTCAGGACAGGACCAGAGGTAAAGAATGTGCTCTACTCTGCAGCTGGAGATAAAGGTCCCTCCTGGAGCCTCTGGCCAAAGGTGCCTGGTGAGACGTGAGGGCGACCACTGGGTTTCTGGAGCCGAAGCTACAGAGGTTCTGAGGCCAATTCCACCCCTGTGGAGAAGGAAATCTTAGCAGCCTATGAAGGCATACGAGCAGCTGCAGAGGTAATTGGTCCCAAAGCACAGCTCTTCTTGGCACCCCAGATGGGACCCCAGCATGCAAAGTGTAACTAGATAAGGGAAAAAGGGGGTAGGGTTTATCCATTTTAGGGAAAGGGTGGCCAAAAAGGAAATACTGCAATGCAGCAAACTTTGGCCAATCGGGGAGCGGGGTCTAAGGATACAGACATCAAGGGGATTTTTCATCAAACAATTTCAGGGGACAAACAAGGGAAAAACTACAGTAAATGTTTAGACACAACCGTAAAACTCGAAAGGCTTTGGGTCTGAACTTCTTGACAACTTCATCCAGGGCTTTCATCCTCTGGAGGGTCACACATTTCTTGTTGTCTTCTCCAGCTTTCAGATTCAGCAATGTCCTCACTCCCAACAGACCAGGGTCCCCTTTCCAGAGTAATGGAGGAGCACCGGGATTTTTTAATCCAAAATTCCCGGATTGGAATGAAATGCTCTGGAAAGGCTCTGGAAATCATTGGGTGTTCACAGTGAGTCTCTGGTTTCCCATCCCCTGCTTCAGATGTGAAAACATGTTCCTTGCAGTCGGAATGTAAACTCATCAGCTCCAATAAACTTGAGCACTATATCCCATCATCCAGATCATCAATGAAGATGTTCACCAGGAATTGCTGATCACTGGCCTCCAGCTGGATGTTGCACTCCTGATCACCACCCCAGCCGGGAGATTTCAACCAGCCTGCTGTCTGCTCATCCAGCCCATACTTCATGGGCTTCTCTGTGAGGGAGCCCTGTCTGTGTCCACTAGTACACACATTCATTTGGATTTTAAACAATCAAACAGAAGTGATTGTTTTAACAGCAGAATTATTTTTCAAAGGGAAATAGAAGGGTAAGAGTTTTTAATTTTAATGATCATGTTTTACATGGTACTAATTGACATCTAGTAGAAATGAGACAGCACCTTAAGAGACAAATCTACATTCTCTATTTATGCCTCTGAATTACAGATATGGCTTTGATGGAACGAGTGCCTTCAAGCTCCATTGGCAGGCACTGTTTGAAAGCTATTTGGGTGATTTTTGATAAGAAATGAAAGATGCAACAGCAGGAAGCCATTCAGCAATCCCTGACAAGGGAGGTCCACTGTCAATTGCTGGGAGGGCCCCCACCTGTTTCTTTTAATGGTGCTCCCAAATCCCACCTCTTGGGCCTCCCATCCCATCCTTTTTGGTCCCCTCAGGCATCTCCTCCCCAGCATCTGCTCTGTGTCCTACCCAGGGTCCCCAAATATCCTCCCATTAATCATTCCCAAAGCTTTTCTTTCCATCCTTCCCCTCAGACCTTTGCCTTTCACCCAGGCCACTGCCCTGGTACCTCCCAAGACCATTCCTTGCCTCCCTCTCCACTCCCAACCATCTCCCATTGCCCTTGTTTTTGTCCTCCTCCATCATCCTCCTCCTGTCCCCACCAAGCCTCTCCCTTGCAGTCCCCACATCCCTACACTTGAATTCCTTTCCCCTCCCCTGCATCCCACACAGGGCCCCTTCAACACCCCAATCCCAGTCCCGTGGGCTCCCCAGTTCCCCCCAGTTCAGCATCTTTGGGTCCCCCCCAACCTCCTCCCCCCCTCCCTGCAGGCCCTGAATTCCCCTGGCTCTCCTTGTCTCCATCCCCACCCTGGGCCCTGCAGGCACAGGGGTTGGAGGTGAAACTGGGGGCAGTGGGAGCAGGGGGAGCAGAAGGGATTTTCCCCCTCAGACGGGGGCAGCCCTGGGCTGGGGGGCTGGGGACCCCCGTGTCCCTCCCCCAGCCCCACAGGGGCCAATCCTGCTTAAACCTTTGCTCTCCTTGCCCAGGCACTCTTGGCAGGAACCCAAAATGATCTGCGGGAGGTGAGTGGGCCGGGGGGACTGGAGGGCATCCAGTCTGGGAACTGGGGGACACTTTGGTCCCCCCATCCCTCGCTGGCACCGGGGACATCCCAGTGACCAGCCAGGGCTCCTGGGCTCTCTCCAGCTGCATTTAGTGGACGTTGGGATCCTGAAGATGGCTCAGGTGGGTACCAGGAGTTCTGCCTGAGTCGGGTCCTCCCCTCACATGGCCATGACACTTCTGGCCATCCCAGTCTGCCCCAGTATACCCCAGTGCACCTTCCCCAAGGATCCCATTTCTTCCCCCAGGCTCCCAATACATCCCACTGCACCCAGGGTGTCCCTAACCCTGCCTTTGTCCCCAGCCCCCTGTGGTTGAGAAGGTGGTGGGTCCTGTTGGTGAGAAAGGCGTGGCTGCATCCCTGGATGGCTGAGGTGAGCAGTGCCTGCAGGGAGAGGGGTCAGGACAAGGCCCCTCTCATGTTGCAGTGGACTTTGGGGGTGACGTTTGGGGCTCTGTCTTTCAGGCCTGGTGGTGACACCCGTGCCCTGTCCCCCTCCAGTGGCATGAGGAGATGATCATCCCTGGAAGAACCCCCTGATTTCCCTCAGAGCCCAGGGGCATTTCCCCAGAATGATCAATAAATCCCTTCAGCAAAGCTACTCTGCTTGATCTTGTGTGTGTGTTCCCAACTCCATGTGTGTGTTCCCATCTCCATGGGTGTGTTCCCATCTCTCTGTGTGTGTTCCCATCTCCATGTGTGTGTTCCCAACTCCATGTGTGTGTTCCCATCTCCATGGGTGTGTTCCCATCTCCATGGGTGTGTTCCCATCTCCATGTGTGTGTTCCCATCTCCATGTGTGTGTTCCCAACTCCATGGGTGTGTTCCCATCTCCATGGGTGTGTTCCCATCTCCATGGGTGTGTTTCCATCTCCATGGGTGTGTTCCCATCTCCATGCCTGCATTCCCATGTCCATGTCCTCTCCTTCTCCAGCCCCTGCACACCCGGTGCCTCTCTGGCCGCTCCCCTGCCATGAGCAGAGAGGCTCAGGGGGCTCCTGGGGGTCTCTGCACACGAGATCCCCTTCACCCCCTCCATGTGCATCCTGAGCAGTGCAGGTTGGGGCATCGTGGAAAGTCCCTGCTGGGGGCTGGGACAGGCAGGGGGCACACGGGGCAGCCCCTGGAGCACCTGGACCTCCCCTGTGCTCTGGGAGGGATGGGAAAGGGGATCAAAGGAGCCAGCGGGTGTCAAATGCCCCCAGATCTCAAGGGCCAGGCTCGGGGCTGAAGGGATGGAGAGCAGCCCTGCATCCAAGGCCACGGGGATAGTGGGGGATGAAAAGCAGGATGGGAGCCAGCAATGGGAGCTCACAGCCCACAACCCCCCCGTGTCCTGGGCTCATCCCACAGCGTGGGCAGCAGGGGAGGGGGGTTCTGTCCCTCTGCTCCTCTCAGCTGAGACCCCCCCCTGCAGTGCTGCCTCCAGCTCTGGGGCTGCCTCAGGGTGTGGTTTTCTGTTGAGGAGGAAAAGGCAGGACTGAGTCAGGTCAGACTCTATTAGCAAAACGTGTCTCTTTTTAGGAAGACCTCTCTGCATCCCCCTCCCCTGAGCTCTGGGTTTTGCTGGCTGATGGGGGCTTTGAGAGCAGGGACCCTGTGACAGGCTCCCGAGGAATCCTCCTTGCTGTGAGAGGCAACTCGGAACACGGGGTGATCCGAGATTAAATGTGCCTGTGACACATCAAAGCGTTTCCAGCCCTGCTGTTCACAGTTTGCCCAACTGCAGAGCAGAGCTGAGGGGATTTGCTGTAGTTTAACTTGTTACAGTTTCACTTGGTACATTTAGAAGTAAATTTGGATGGGTGAAATCCCTGACATTTCTGATGTTCTCCAAGTGAAATCTCGTGGGTCCTGGGAGTCAAAGGGATGGTCTCAGTGCAGAGAGAAGAACTACGCTGGCCATCACTCCTGTTCTCAGCCGCCCCTCGCTGGCAGCTTGGAGCTGAGGGAGGATCACACTAAGGAGCTCCCTTAAAAAGAGACAGGGCCTTTCTGGGAGCAGAGGAATCCAGGCTGAAAGGGCAGATTGACAGACTCCTTGTCTTTTCTCAGGGTGCCTGATTAGGATCTCCTCTTTCTTCTCCCAGACTGCTGCACAGAGGGATCATTGCAGCTGCCCAGAGCATTTCTATGGCTCTACCACCGAGGTGTCCTCTCCATGGGGATCCCAGACAGCACAGAGATACTATGGCAGAGCTGTGCCCTTCTGGAGGACACCCTGCAGGACACCCGGGGAAGCAGCTGAATGTCCTGAAGTTGCCTGGAGGGCACTTGGGCATTTTGCTCCCACAGACACATCCCCACAGCAGCACCCAAAGGGTTTGTGTCTGGACAGGAACCTGCCACCCCAAAGCCCCTGCACTGCCTGAGAAAAGCCAATGGTGAGAAGAAGAACAGCTCAGACAACAGGGGATGGCAGGGAAATGCCACAATGCTGCTGCCAAGGGAGGAGGGACACACAGAGAGAGATGGAAATGGGGGCCTTGTCCTTGCCTGGGCTCTGCTGCTGCAGGGCAATGCACAGCCCAGGGGCCATGGCCTGAGGGCACAGGCTCTGCTTAGGCTGGGAAAGGAGCCCAGGGAGGAGCTGCTCAGGGAAGGGGTCTGTGCCACAGGGACAGCAGGGAGGGGCCCACATCCCCCTGCCCAGCCCTTGTGGCAGCAGCTCCCTGTCCCTGCCTGCCTGTCTCTGGGTGAGGAGCTGTTCCTGCCAGCAGCCCCTGCCTGTGCCCAGCTCAGCTCCCTGCCAGTGCTGCCAGAGCCATGCCCAGCCCAGTGCCCAGGGGCAGCTCTGCCTGGGCAGGGGCTGCAGAGCAGATCCCAGACCCTGCGGTGGCTGGGAAGGGGGAGGTGTTCTGGGGGGATGTGCTTCCTGAGAAGGGCCCCTGGAAATGGCAGGAGGTGGAGCTGAAGCTGTGAGGAGCCCTGAGCCTGCAGCTGAAGGGCCCTGCCCTGCCCTGCCCGGCCCTGAGGGGTCACTCCTTCCACCCACCCCTTCTCCCCCAGCCCCGTGGCAGCTCCTTGGCCGGGCTGAGAGCTGACCCTGGCAGGCAGCAGAGTCCCTGCCCCAGCACACAGAGCCCTGGGGGCAGGACCCTGCTCTGCCCCACAGCCCTGGGGCACCCCTGGCTGCACCCCCACCTTCCCACCCCACAGCCAGCCCTGCCACAGGGAACCTTCTTGCCCTGGGCCTCTGAGGGGGCAGCAGCAAGTCCTGCTCTGCAGCAGCTTCTCCTGCTGCACCCCAGGAAATCCAGCAGAGCCATCCTGACAGCTCCTGCCACTGCTGGCATTTGGCAGCTGGGAGAGGCACTTACAGGAACTCACTTGCACTGCTCTGCAGCCAGAGCCTGATCATGGCAAAGGGCTGGGAAGGTTCCTCCCCTGAGCAGCTCTCCCCTGTCCTCCCACCCCAGGATCTCTTGAACCTCCTGCTCCCTTCTCCTCTCTGCCCTTGCTACCTGCAGCTCCTGCCCTGCTCTGCCATGTGGCCACTTCCCCTGCACTGCAGCAACTGGGAGAGTCCTGCTGAAAGATCCTAGAAGCTGTGGGATGTGGCAGCTTTAGGAGATCCCTCCAGGAAGGGAAGTTGAACTTTCCTGCAGCCAGAGAAATATTCATTCAAATCCCGTGAAGGTTTCTCCCATAAGTGAGAGCTCAGTCCCCTCCCAGCCCAGGCTGCCTCTCATCTCTCTGCCTTCTCTCCTGTGCCCTGGGTGCTGCAGGCAGTGCCCTCAGCCCTGCTGGGCTGGGCAGAGGAGCTGCTCCTGGGCAGAGCTTGCCAGGAGCTCCCTGTGTGCCAGGAGCCCGGCCCAGCTCAGCAGCACAGCAACAGCCCCAGGCAGCACTTCTGCCCTTCAGGGATCCCTCCAAGTGTCCCTGGGGCTCCAGGGGACCCTGCTGGGACACAGCTGAAGGAAATAATGATGTTCCTTCTCTCAGCTGGGCACAGACACTTCTTTCAGCAGGGTCATTTCTCCAAACAGACACTGAGTTAAGTTCAAGAGTCCCCTTTTCATGTCCCATCATTAGACAGGAAACCCAGACAGTGCCCAGGAGGGATCTCCTTCACCCCCACTGAGGGAAGGGACTCAGCTGAGTCAACAGAGGTGTCTCCTTGTGGCTCTGCAGACCTGGGGCCAGAAGGACACTCAGCTCCCTCCACAGCCCCCATGGGGTGGGATTCCTCCTGCCCCAGTTCAGGGGGCCCAAAACAGGCACCTGCAGGTGACTCCTGTTGGGGCAGATGACACTGCAGAGATAAGAAATTATCTTAGCCAGAAACCATGGAATTTAAAGACAGACAAGGAAAGCTTGTTTACATATACCACCTGATATTTTTATACTATCTTTTAATTAAGCAGACTTGCTGTCTCCACGAAAATCCTTTTACCACCTTGTTTACCCCATCTCCTGTTGTAATTGTGATAAAGAAATATCTGTTTATCTGTTTGAAGAAAATTATCTCCCTGCGCTTCCTGGACCCTCAACCTCAAATGTGAATACAATGTATGTCCCCCCTTCCCTGAACCCTGTATATAGCTAGAGTTGTGTCAAACAAAGGATTCAGCTTTGTACCCACAAACTGGATCGTGCAATTATTTAAACTGTCTTAGACTCCTTGTCCCATCTCCCGTGGGAATGAATGAAGACCAAAGCCAGGAGTGACCTGCTGGGACACAAAGCCCTGGTCACTTCTGAGGGGCCAGAGGTGACCGAGATTCCTGCTGGGAACTGCAGGCTCCAATGGAGCAGTTCCTAGGCACAGGGCAGCAGCTGTGGGATCTTCTTGGAGGCTGCTGGGACATTGCTTTGGCCAACTTCAGTGGCAGAAGGGGCCCACATGTAGGACAGGGGAACCTGTCACTGTTCCTCCTGTCCAGGGCAGCCCACAGAGGTGCTCAGCTGAGCAAATGCAGGGAGGGAGGTCTCTCTCCTGTTCTTTATCAGGGTATTTTCTACACATCCTTAGAGTACAATGGCAGTTGTCTCCTGGACATCCCTTCCTTGCTGAACATAATTCAGGGCAGCTGAACCTGAATTTAGTACCCAAAGAGGGGCCTGTAGTGCCAGGGGAGGTGCCAGGGCTCTGCAGCACAAGTGCAGCAGCTGCCATGGACAGCACAGGGCCTGTGCAGGGACCCCGTCCCCATTCCCAGCAGTTGTGGGACAGGCACCACCCAGGGCTCCTCAGACACATTGGGGGCCTTTGGGGCAGGGAGTGAATCCCAGCCCTGCAGGGACATAAGGTCTGGCCCTTCTCTATCCAGCTGGTGCTGGGCAGTTCCTGAATACAAAGCTGTGGTGGTTTGGGCTGGGCCTTCCTTGGTGACCAGTTAGTAACCAAGGAAGGGTCCAGATTTACCCAGTATTCCCTACGATTTTTACATAAACCAGACTATAAGAAGAAAGGAGGAGAGGCCTTCGCTCTTTCCTTCCAGCTTTGGAGGTGCAGGTTCCCTGCTGTTGATCTGCCGTGTTGGGGAGCGAGGCCTGGTTGGGCCTTGCCGACCTTGGCAGATGGAGGTTGCCGGCGATCGTTCCGGAGCGACTCTCGGTTGTCCCAGGAGAGTAGTGAGCTATTTTCTTTGCTAACTC